CCAAATGCCAACAGTGGATTCCAGGGTCTCCATGTTGCCAGAAGGAAGTGCTGTTGCTGCTGCCGGGCGCCCAAAAGGCACGCGCCACACAAAATCGCGCGTGCCACACACACACACACTCACACACACACACACACAGGGAAAGCCACTCAGCTGCAACCTCGACAAGGACAACGCTGTGCTTTTTTTTTACATTTGCACGCAGAAGTGAGATAAAAAATATATATATATTTAAAAAGGATTTTATTCTAAGGACGCCAAACATCCTGTGGCACAGCGTGAGCTGGCAAAAAAAAAATAGGAAAATGTTTTTCTATATATATACTTGTATATTTGTATATGTTTTGTAGACAATGCCTCCGCTGGCTGCCAGGCAGGTCCCGGCGGGTCTCGGCGTGCTTTTGACTTTTATTTTGTTTGCGGGCATTAAAAAAGAATATATGTATATAAATATGCAGAAATGTGTGCGTGGATATGTTAGTTGATTGTATGCCCTTGCCAAATGGACAACATGAATTTCTGCTTGACATAAGTTACAAAATGTTTAACCACAAAAAATGCTCTTTCAATTTCACATGTCAAGTTAACGTACACAACAAAAAAACAAGACGTTTAAAATGAATACTAGTTTTTACGTACTTAAAAAGGCAGAGTTTGCATTTGAACCAGCGACTTTTCCAGCTTTTTGCTCATTAAAAATGTTGCTTCAATTTGAGATGTCACATTAAAGAGAAAATAAAAATCGATTTAAGTTTTGACGTGCTTCCAAATTCGATTTTAATATAAGAGTAAAGAAAAGTGTATAAAATTTGCATTTGAGCCAGCGACTTCTCTTGTGCCAGTATAAGAAGAATCAACTAAGAGGAAAAGCCGTGCCAAGAATGCTGTACAAAAAAATCTGATAAAATTGATGCAAGTTGTTACGCATGTAAAGAAAATATATGGACAAAATTTATATTTGAGCCGGCAACTTCTCTTTTGCCAGCTCGACGCTCACACGTTGACTCAAGTTTGAAGTACTCATAAATTTAGACTAGAAAAAGGAATTATGTAAAGAAAAATATATTGTGAAAACTAATGCTTGACCTGGTGACTTCTCTTTTGCTAGTTTGACGCTCGCTCATTTGTATATGATTAAAATCTGCCCAATTTTAGAGTAAAATAAAAAAATTAAAAGGCTTTGTATATGCATGTGAGAATTCGCAGTGTATTTCAGCTTCGCTGCGGCACTTGGCGAGTCTTAACTGGCAAGTATGAGAATTTTTGTTGTCAAAGATAAGTTGAGGTCGCAGATTTATGTATGTTAAAGCAGAGCGCATGATGTGTGGCATGCCACACAATGCCAGGCGACAACAACAACTAGCTCGGCCAGATAATTGTGTGCTCTGTGGTGGCATCTTTGCGGCTTTTGCCTCGTGTTAAATGCGATTTTAATGAGCGCTTGTCAGCGAAAGCATAGTTTCCAGCGTTGCATGTGCTACAACAAAATTGAGTCAGTTTCTTTTTGCGTTTTTTAGACAAATGATTGGGCAAATGCATTTGCTGGACGAGCCCGTGTTTAAGCCAAAGTCAAGAGCACGAGCTGCAGCTGTAAATGAAAATGGAAGTTGCTGTAAAAGCAGTTGCAGCCCTTAAGGGCAACTGTTTTGGCAGATGCAGCCTGCTTTGCATAGCTAACGCATAATCAAAGACCAAAAAAAAACGTATATGAATGCAATCAACGGGGTGTGCCCGACTGGAAGATACTCTCAATGCAGTAAAGAGCTTGCTGTGACAAACATTCGAACTCCTTTTTATGCATACAAGCACAGGGAAACGCACACACACACATGCAGGCCTCGCTACTTCTTCTTCTTCGCTTAGCCTCTTATTATAGGGTATGTATTCAAGCTTAACTTGGGTAATTGAAGTTCAATCTTAATAAAATTTCCAAGGCTTAAGTATGGCAAAGAAAAGTGTGTGCATACCAAGGCGCAAGACTGTAACATTAAAACTGAGTTTTTTTTAGTTTTGAGGGGGGATGAGGGAAGGTATATACAAAGTAATTTATTTTTTATTTTTATATACTATTCCAACAACTATATAGCAAGTTTGATGTCAGTAACCTTTATAATCCTCGAGGTACGCTTGAAAAACCAAGTCACAAAATCGTTTTTTTATTGCTTTTACTGAAATGGGCAGATATATCGTTTAGAACAATTATAATATCATGCTGCATGTGCTATGCGATAGTATATTTATGCAATAACATATTTATATAGTTACGCATCTCTCTCAATCGCCAAACCAGCATACCCCATTTAGCTATTTTTAATGGGTATAACAAACACAAAAAGAAGGCTCTCCCATCAACCGGCAACAGGCTAACCAATTCGCAGCTCAAGCTGCGCCCGGCCCACGTCCCAGGCCTCAACAACCGCAACTCACCTTGCTCACGCCCCTTCAATCACTCCCCCCGCCCCCGCCCAGTTTGCCACCTGCTGACCAGTTTTCCTTGCTGCTGCATAGGCAAACAGCGTTCGAAATTTTGCTTTGGCTCAAACAAATTTTTGGTTTGTTGCTTCGACCAAATGTTGTTTGTTGTCTTTGGGGCAACGAAACCAGAACCTGGACCTGGATCAGGACGAGGAGCAGCAGCAGGAGCTGTGCCTGTACCTGTGCTTGCACCTGAGCTGCAGCCTGGTGCTTGGAAATTGCGTTTCCGCTCCAGGAACAGCAAACCCCTCAAAAAAGGAAAAAAAAAATATGGCAAGAAAATGCAGAGAGAGCGGAGAGGAAGTGCACGGCGACAGCGCATTTCCTTTCAGCCGCATCCGCATCCTTTGGCCGCCTGCTGCTGCTGGCCTTTGTGGGCACACACACACACACACACACACACACAGGGGGGGCTGTGCGTGTGTTAGTTTTTGTTTGTTTGGTTTTTGGCGGAAATTTTGCGCTTGCAAATCGCATGGAAAATTCGAGTACAGGCTGCCCCCGGACTTCCATGTTGGTTTTGGACTTGAGCCTGCCTGGCCATGGTCAGGACTCCAACGAAAGGATTTTCATTTGGCAGCTTAGCAACGATGCGGGCAGCTGCACACACACACGCACACACAGAGAGAGAGAGAGGCACACACAGACAGCTGCAGTTGCTTTTCTAAACCTCTGGCGAGGACGAGTCGCGCGTCGTTGCCCGGCCACAGCCAACGACTTTGGCAGCGGCTGAGGCAACAAGCCGCCGCCACCAACCACCACGCCCCCTACCACGCCACGCATATGGGCGCAGCTGACGCATGCATGCGTGGGGTTAGGCGCCCGCCTACAAGGGATTGGAGGGAGGCGTGGACTGGGGCAGAGCTTAACAACGACAACGGCCAGCGGCGACTTGGGGCCGAGCATCGATTGAATTTATTTGCATTGTTCGAGCAGCAGCGGGCAGCGGCAGTGTTAGGGGGAGCGGGGAGTGCAAGGGGGGGGAGGGATAGGGCCTGCAAGTGTAGGCCTAGGCCTCTTTGCCCAGCGTTTGGAGCCGGGCTAACAATTCTTTTCGATTTTCATTTCCGTCTGCAACAGCAACAACAATTGCAAAGGCGACGAGCAGAGAGAGGGGGCAGCAGCAGTGGAAGGGGGGAGGGGGGGCGGTAGTAAGGGGCACAAACAGGGCGCAAAAATCATTAGAAACTCTTTTGTTAGGTAGCGCACGTCGCGCGGCGTTTGGGGAAATGAAACTAGAGAAAACTTCAACGACGACGACGGCAGCGGCTTTTACATATATTTTTTTGTATTTACTTTTTGTTTGCAGCAGGCGGAGGGAGGAAGGGGGAGCACGAGAACGTGGACGACGCGTCGTATGCGCAATTTTCTAACGGCAACGGCAGCAAACCAATTGACCAAGGCCCAGGACCAGGACCAGGCCCAGGCCCAAGCCCGGGGCAGAGTCAGCCAACGGAACCGACTGCTGCTGCTGCTGTGGCTACTTCTATTGTCAAAGGGGGCACACACACGCACACACACCTACTCACACACACAGCTTGTTGTTTTCTCTGCATTTTTTCTGCGCTGCGTGGATTTTGCGTGATCTACACTTTAAGCAGAGCTTGCCACAGTTGAAAATGCAGCAGCCACACAACGGCAGCAGCAGCAGAATCTAAAAACAAGTCAAAATTAACTGGAGAGGAGTGCACGACTAGCAGATACCCTGCTCATTATTTACAAGCCTTAAGCGAGCACATTAGCCGACTTTAGCTAAGATTGTTCCTCTCCCTCCCTTTGCCCCCACAATATGTTTAAGAAAATGAAATCTTGTTTAAGTTCGGCTCTTAAAGTCCGATTCTCATCAATCAGGACTTAAATATGGCATACAAAAGTGTGTGCATACCTAAATCCAAGGCAATACCTATTAAAATAAGTTACTTTCTAAAATAGTCAAGAATTATGGGAGTTTATAAAAAGTGAAATATTTAAGATCTGAATATACTCTACGTGCAGCTAAATTCGAAAACTGGAAACTCTAGCTCTTATATGCCTCGAGATATGTTCGATTAATCGAATATCGATATCGATTATTTAAAGGAAAATTGATCTGTGTGAACAAGAGGACAAGCTAAGACCTCTAGCTTCATACATACAGACGGACGGACAGCAGAAGCTCGACTTATTGCATATGCCTCCTTCTGCCTGCTGCTGCACATCTTTCCGCAGCAACCAATATACCCTCTCTCTACCCATTTGCCATGGGCTTAGGGTGCAAAAAAATGCCTTTGACCCAAGTATTCGCAGATGTAAATGTTACGGTCTGGACACAAACAATGCACTGGCAAAGTTAGCAAGCGCGAAGGATGCGCCTGGATCCAAGGATTATTCCGTTGGCTTCCAGAGTCGATTGTCCAAAGTATTGGAACAGTTTAAGTTGGTAAAAATGTATGATTTGTCTTTTTTAAAAGGCTTTAAAGCTTTCAAAGGGAAAGGGTTTACTTCACTTAATAAATGCTATGTTTCAATCAGAGTTCTTTTCCTACCTTAAACTTTTGGCAAGATTTTGCTTGCTTGAAAATTGTTCAATTGTTCCAAAATAGATTCCGGCGTTAATTATGTGGATGCTGAAAGAAAGGGAATAAGAAACATATTAGTTAGGTATACTCAATGTTTGTATATAAAAACTGATTGATTGACTGAAAGACTGATTGACTGATTTAAGAGCTAGGCAGCTGGAATTTCTACAAACAGAACAGCGTATTTTCAAGACTTGACATAAGAACTTGCTAAATACATGTTTCAGCGATTTTGGAATTTTCACCCTCAGCTGTGGAAAATCGGCGGAAAATTTGCAAATTTTCTATTTAACAACGAATTGATATTTAACTAGTTTTTAAAGATATTTTTGAAAAGTTTTTCGCAAAATACGACAGACTTTTAGCCAATTTTCAAATATATTTGTACAGCACAAACTCCAGATTGATCAGATTTGTCAGATTTTAATGTTAATGTTTATTAAAAAAATAAATAAATAAATAAATGTTGTGCAAGAAGCACAAAACTTGCCAGTATTATACCCGCTTGTATATGTATAATTTATAATCATAGTTATTTTCCTACTTTACATTTTCACAAGATCTTGCTCGGTGGAAATATCTTCACATGTTCCAAAATTAATTCCAGCGTCGATTTCGTGGATCGTGGCAGAGCTATTATAAAAATGCATATTACTTAAGTATACCTCATATAATAAATGCATATGGAATGCCATGGATATACAGAGCTATAAAATAGGGCTGCACGCTCAAAAAAGAAATGTCACTGGTTCAACTCACGGCCAATAGTTGGGATTCGGACCGGATCTCTCCCTCTCTCTCTAAAGGTATTCTAATTTAAAATTTACTTTGTTTGTGGCTAACTGAAAGGTTTCAGCAAAATATATAAACTGTCAGCCACACTTAACTCTTGCTCAGATCTTTTTATGGTATTCTCCTAGAGACTACGCTTAGCTCTCATTTATGTGTCGGAGCTGAAAACAGACGCAATTTTCATTTGAATGCTTTGCAGAGCACTCGAATCTTTAAGCCTCGTTGGGGGTTTGTTTTTTTGGCTGCTCTGCTTGGACAGAAGACATCAAATGTTCTGGCATTCGAAGGCCTGAAGAGCTCTTCAGAGAGTTTGCCCTTTCAGCTTTCAGGTTTGTTGTCCACTTCGATTTGTAGGTTAGCATATGCCCATGCCCATCTCCAGGGATATTTTGTTTTGTTTTTTATTTTTGTCGCCTCTGGTCTGCTTCTTTCTAGTGGCAAAGTCCATTTCCTGTCTCCATTTCTTTGACTTCTCTCGCTGGATGCTGCCAATATGAACTCTTTCGCTTTGCTAGCGGATGTCCTTTAACGTGGTTTCCACACCGCTGCCCACACACACACACACACACACACACACACACACGCACACATTTTTTTCACGCTTTTTCCCAATAATTTTCACTTTGAAATTTCCTACTCGCCACGGCAGAACGGAAGCCAATACTCGCTAGTTTTTCTTTTTATTTTTTTCACTTCACTTTTTAGTTCACAATTTTTTTTTTTGGTTTTTTTTTGGCTGCCATCTTTGAGCTTGTCAAAGCGGAAACGGCTTTCATTTCCGGCGTTCAGCGGCGCCACAGAAAGTGACTTGATTAAATGCAAAAAAAATTGACAAAAACTGTCATTTTTATAAATCTTGAAGAGCTCTTTGCCGGAGCCATCGATCTGTCTGAGCCTCGGGCAAAAACCTTTGAAGAGTTTGTCATATCCGAAAGATACTCTATCTTAGATCTAAGATCTTGTCATAACTGAAAGATACTCTATCTTAGAATTAAGATTGAGGAACTTTCTTTCTAATTGGCCTTTTTGAGTAATTTTCATGGTCAATGCGAAAGTTCAGTGTGTTTTTTTTGAGCCTACCAAAAAAATGATTTGGAGTCTTAAATAGTTTATTCTCTTGGAAAAAATCTATGAAATTCACTCTTAAAAATCACATATACGCGAATGCGAGTAAGAATTATATTAAAATAGATTTTTTTCGCTTAAAAACCCTATTAAATTCTTGGCTACACTTTAAAAAGAAGTTGGACGCTATGAAGAAAAGAAATTATATTTAATATATTTTACTCTCCTTCTGCAATTATTCAAGTTTTCAATAAACATTAGGTATACGGGGGCAATCTTACAAGGAACTCTCAGGATTTAAAAAAAATTATGCCTTAAAATATGATAGTTTTCTCCTTTATATCGAATTAAGAATTGAGTTAAGGTAAACCCTCGTTATTAGACTGAGGCACATTAATCTTAGAAATGGTTCTTATTTAGTTCAATAATTTATATCCTTTTTTGTGGCCCTGAATTCTGTACTCATATGATAAAAGATAAAGATTTATTGCAAGAGCAAACGAACTAGAATTTGAACTAGAAGCATAACTGGAACTGGAACTGGAATTAGAACCAGAACTATAACTAGAACTATTTTTGGAACTAGAACTAGATTTAGAGCTAAAACTAAACTCGAACTGGAAGTAAAATTAGAACTAGAACTATAACTGAAACTGGAACAAGAACCGGAACTAAAACTAGAACAAGAACTAGTACCAGAACCCAAATCAGAACCAGAACTGGAACTAGCACTAGAACAATAAGTGCAACTATAAGTATAACTGGAACTAGTGCCAGAACTAGAACTAAGAGTATCCGCTCACTGTAAACACATTTCTATAAATTAAAATATTTTGCTTATTTAACAGAAAAAAAAAACTATTAAATAAATATTAGCAAATCGTTTTGATTCGCTTTTGTAATTCGCCGAGTTTCGTGTCTGCCGAAGCTGGCGGCAGGCCGAACAGGCGCGCTTATAAATATTTACGATGCTACGCTTTTTTCTACACACAAGCACACACACACACACACCAATATAAATATATATATATATATATACGTATATAATTCATATATATATATATATTTAAAATGCCAGCCAATGGGCGTTGAACACGAAGCGTGCGAGCGCACGAAGCACAAAAAAGGCCAAAAAAAAAAGAGAGAAAGCAAATCAAATAAAATATGCAAAATATACAAAAACAAACACACGCACACACACGAGCGCACACATGGGCAATAGTTTAGTTGTTGTTATTGGCTGCGCACATGTCAACCAGCAGCAGCAACAACAACAACAACAACAACAACAACAACAACAACAGCTGCTGCTGCTGCTGCTGCAGGAGGCCTACAAACAACAACTATGCGAGCTGCATATTAAAAATGCGTTCGTAGCGCCGCCTACTGCGTGACGTCACCAGCAAGAACAACAACAACAGAAGCGACAACAACAACAAGAAGAAGAACAGCTCGCATTTTGCATTTCCTCTTTGGCCCGCTGCACATCTTTCTGCTTAATGCTTTTGCTGTTTTCTTCTTCTTCTTTTTTTTTTGCTGCTCGTTCCTCTTCCTCTTGTTGTTGTTGTTGTTGCGCTCAAAAGTTTCTGCTCTTTTTGGCCTTGCCAATGAGCGCCGTCGTCTAAGAGAGCGCCGCAGCAATGCTCGGCTCGGCACGCTCTCTCCCTCTCGCTCTCGCTCACACGCGCTGTTGTTAGTCTCGTGAAAGTGGTAGGGGTGTTGGAATGGGGAGTGAGGGGTTCGCCTCTCACCTTAGCTGCTCGACTGCTCTGTTCGTGTAGGGAGCGAGCGCCAAGCTTGCGCGCTCGCTCACACCCGTTGCGCTGGCCGCCTGTTGGCTCGCAGCGAGGGCGTGGCCAAGTGCTGTAGTTTTTCTGTGCTCTTTTCGCAGTAGTTGGGCTAAGCAGCAGCAGCAGCAGCAGTGGCAGTGGCAGTGGCAGCAACAACAATAACGTTGAATGGCTGCAATAAGCTGAAGATTGACGTCGTCGGGGGTTGCACTAAAAAACTATTTGCAACATTTTCTTACTGGACCAAATGCTGCAGCTTCTCTCTTTCTTTCCGGCCAAAAGAATGCGCCTCTTGTCGTTGTTGTTGTTGTTGTTGTTGTTGTTGTTGTTGTTGCTGCTGCTGCACTCGGCCTGTTTTGTAGTAGGCGCAATTTTTTGGTTATGCGTGTCTTGACGTTATTCGCGATTTTTATGTATTTGCCTTATTGGCTCGTCCACTGTCTGCCCCCTCCCCCTACTCCTACCCCACGCTCTATAATCTAGGGTTCACAAGTTGGCAGGACAGCAGGCTGGCTGCCATGAAAGCTAAACCTGATTTAAATAGCGCTTAAATGAAAAATTATTAATTAACTTAAGCTGCGACAAGATCGCACAAGTTGTAATAATTAGAAAAAAAGAGAGCGCGCACACACTTGACGCTCTCTTAAGCCATCAAAGGCCGGCTGCTCTTAAGACGCAGCGGGCAACGCGCCGAATTCGCCGCAAACAACCGGAATAACAAAGTGTGCTCTCTCTCTCTCTCTCTCTCGCGCGCGCGTTCGCTCTCACGCTCTCTGTGGCGCTCGCGCTCACGCAGCAATACGGCAGCGACGCCGGCAGCGCAGCGACGCCGAGTTTCGAGTTTCATTCATTGTATCTGTTAGATACTTTTGCCGAGCAATCAGTTCGTATTTAACTTTCGTCGTGAATGCAACGCAACGTTTTGTGAGCAGCGTACGCAAAGAGCCAGAGAACAACAACAACAACAACAACAACAACAATAACAATAACAATAAACGAATGTGCCGCTAAACGTCGTCGTCGCCGTCGTCGTCGTCGTCGTGTGTGTGTGTGAATGAAACAACAAACAACAACAAATAAGAAATTAAATATAAATACAAATAGAAACAACATAATGTGCTGCACGCGTTGCACAAACTAAACACTCAACAACAACAACAACAACAACAACAACAACAAATGTGCGTCAAGCAAAACTTGGAAAAGTACGTGGAAAACTCAGTCAGCTTTGTGTATGTTGAATTTGCCTTTTGTTAAGCCATAAAAAGAAATATGTTGTATAATTATGATTATTATAATAATTGACAAATAACAGCGTAACGTAACGTAACGCAACGCAACGCAACGTAAGGCCAAGACACGTCACTTGCATTTAATTGCCGCATGAAAATCGATGCGCTA